CTGAAAACAAAAAAACACAGAGAGAGAGAGGAGAAACATCAGAGGAGAGAGAGGAGCTGCAGAGACACAGCATGAAAACACAAACAATCCAGCACGATGCTCTGTTGTACGGTGTGTAATTAAAACCTCTCTGCTTTGTTTACATCACTGTACAATTAGCCACATGTAGCTTAAGTGATGCTGCATGCTTCCGTACTTCAAAAGGCTGCACAACATGTCGGTGATAATGTTCTGGTGATAATGGACGTCTCAAAGGTCTCGAGTTGTCCCAGCACAAATCTGCTCCAGCAACACTGCAATGTTTGAAACAAAAAAAATAACGCTCAAGTTACTTTCCCAAGTAAATAGTTCTCTTTATACAAATTTTTCGACCAATTAAGAAGCTTTGTGGAAGCTTGTGAGCCAGTCAAATTCATCCAAACACTATGTCCTCTATTTTGTGATTTGTTCTATCCAGTTTTAGTTTGAAATGCATGACGACATGGCGGTTAGATACTCTCCAAGTTCAGTTTCACTGTGATTTTAATCACCAGTTGCTTTAGATTATCTCAATCTGGGACGATATAGACCCGGGTGTTGCAGGCGGAGGAACACATGTGGTGTAAAGAAGGTGTGCTAAGTTCAAAGTGGCTTACTGACAGTAAAGGGAAGCACTGGAAAAAATTCTTAATAGAGCACACGCTTACATCCTCACTGATTTTTTGGGGATGTTTGGTTCTTAAAATAAGCTAAATGACGTTGTATGTGGCCCCGTCTGGAGCGATGAAATAGACTAGACTCCATGCCTGCACTCAAAGCCAATCTCTCCTTAGAGGGGCCGAGGTGACCGACAGCTCCTGCGGCTCATACACTGACTATTGAAAAGTACCTCATACAACCCCACTTCAACAATGCAGAACAATCCCTTTAACGCTGAAATGTATTTACTGGAACAGAAAGAACAAAAATCCTAAAATACTTGAGCGAAGTGCTGGAGAGCACAGGCTGGTTTTTCCTCTCATAATAAAGCCCTAAATAGAAAAGAGGCTCTGAATGGTCTCTGGGTGAATCAATACATCAGTTTATTGGAAAACCATCAGCCAACAAAGAGCCGCACTCTGCACGGCTCACACAGGGACCTTAAGGTTCACTTCATCCTGTGCTCGAGGAGGCTTAATTGCTGCACAATTTAAAGGGGACAATCACTTGTGTTGACCTACTGCGGAGGTCTGATAAAAAAAGAAACAGGAGGACTGAAGCTTTTTTTCTGTTCTCTACATCTAGTATTAAAAACACGTTTGAGAAGCATAAAGAGCTAGCAGCAGCAGCAGAGTGAATGTGAGATCAGGCTGCAGAAACTGCATGTAAATGATCCTAACACTGTGCATCACTGCAGACTCACAGTCACCTGTTTCATGCTCCACTTTAAACCTCAATCAGCTGTGGAACAACGAGGCAGAAATTCCATTTCATTCTCATTTGAAAACGTCGAATATGGTGCTATGTTGTAGTGCATGCAGCGGCACAGAATCACAACATGCAGCTCTGACTAAATGACTATGACCAGAGTGCAACAGCTGCCTTTGTAGCTGCCGCCCGAGGGCAGACAGTGTGAAATGTCTGTCAGAGCAACGGGTTCAGTTTTTGAGCTCGGCTCCAGAGAGTAATCCTCTGACAGAGAGCACCGGGACTACAAAGTCACTGTTCGAAAAAACAAAGACGATTCAGTCCATTTCAGACCTACTGAAGATTTCTGATTGTATATCTGGTGCCTATTTCTAAGATTCTGAAATGACCACAAATATGATCCCTAAAGCCTCACTAGCACCCCCTATATGCTTTCTTGTTGACTACATTCAACAACATATTAAATAGGAAAGAACAAATGACATAAAAGGTCCAAAAGCCACAGACTGTAAAGAGTAGATGTAACCTCTGGGACAAATTTTTGTAGTAGTGCTTTCACACTTGCAGAAAACTCCTGATATTTCCAGGAGGAGCTGCATGTGTGAACGCAAACAGCTAAATTTTTTTTCACTCAGACTTTACCCAGAAATTCCGCCTCGTATTTTTTCTGCATGAAGTCCAAATGAGCTGATGTGAGAACGCAGCAGGATATTCTCTGGAGAATTCACCTCGAGTCAGTAAGAGAGGGTGGTGACTGATGCACTGTGCATAGACTGTCTGCACGTAATTTAAAGGATGCTTTATGTTTTCTGTTCTTCTCCAAACTTTTGTTATTGTGATTCTGTCGAACTACACAGCATTGAGATAAAGACTCTAGTCTAAAGCACATTCCTCTAAAATTGTCTTCAGGTAAATGATGTATTTTGGTTTGCAGAGTGTGGCTAATATTAGCAGTGCTAGCACCACCGGCCTTCCTCCTCTCTGCAACTTACACATCTCTGTGCTACATGTGCAGAATAGAGTCCTATTATTCTTTTATCATCCTATTACTCCAGCATTATGAACATTTTAACTAAGAACATCTGACATGTCGTTACTCTACAAGTTAGCAAGAAAACTTTGACGCTGACTAACGCAACTAAGGTCACATCATTGGTGCAATATAGATAACGCTGCAGTTATAGCGCCCTCTGCAGGACAAGTAATATGACAGCTCTACTTTTTTTTTTTTTTTTTTTTTACATTTTTTGGGTGGGGTCTTTTTATGCCTTTATTTAGAGATAGGACAGTGGATTGAGTCTGAAATTGGGGAGAGAGAGAGTGGGGAATGACATGCAGGGAACCCTGGCCGCCCCGCTTGGAGGACTGTAGCCTCCGTACATGGAGCGCCCACATTAATCACTAGGCTACCAGCGCCCGGATAGCTCTATTCTTTAAGTTAGGCAGTTTTTTTCTGCAGTTTTTTGTGAAAAAGAAAAGAAAGAAAAACATTTCTTTCAATGTGTCCAGCAGATTTTTTCTCAAGTTTTATGGTCCATAAAATTAAAAAAAAGCGACGGATATCATCCTTAATTAAACAATTAACCTGAAGTTAACCTGATTCAATGCTTTGTGATAAAAATTTAATTAAAAATAATCACTCTGCCAGAACTTTCCCTGGAAGTCGAAGTGAACACAAATCAGTGACAGGTGACACACAGCAGAAGGCGGCCTCTCCTCTCGTCAAAGATGAAGCTGGATGCTGGCTAATTCTGTTGCCTAGCAACCATTCACACACTCGGGTGCTGTGTGTGGATGCTCGTTCACATTTAAGGCTGATGATGGTTTGTCTCCTCTGGTTACCATCACGCCAACACAGTGCTGTGTGTGTGTGTGTGTGTGTGTGTGTGTGTGTGTGTGTGTGTGTGTGTGTGTGTGTGTGTGTGTGTGTGTGTGTGTGTGTGTGTGTGTGGTGTGTGTGCGTGCGTGTGTGACAGGTTGCGAGAACATCCAACACATCCTCCTCCTCTTCATCTCTAGTGAACACACACGCTGAGGATCACAGGGTTATAATCCATCACACACACACACACACACACACACACACACACACACACACACACACAGAGGAAGGTCAGTGTTTTTATAAGAATAGTGTTCCACCTTTTCAGTAACGAGATTTATTCTGAGCTTCAGCCGGGTCTTCAGTTTCCTCCCCAAAAAGAAAATCAGTCTTCGAGATAAACGTCAGCTCTCAGAGAGACGTTTATATTTATTTTAATGCGACTTAAACTGTGTCTAAACTGTGACAGTGTACACGTTAATTATTTTATTTAAGAGGGAACACCTCAGAACACTGGGTACTGAGTCAGACACTGAGACGGTCTCATTGAAAACTTCTGTGTGTTGCTCATATCAGAAAGAGAGAAGTTACTGAAGCGTCTGAGTGTCTGCCCTGTAAATTCAACCAACACCGTATAAAATACAAAGTTAATGTAAGAGGGGTCGTCCAAGTCTGTTTACTGCTGGAACTTCATGGACATATCCCCACTACCTGTGTGCTTCTCAACAACATAATCTCTAGAGCCCGACCGACTAATCAACCAGCCAATAATATCGGCCAATATGAGAATATCACATGATTTATTCACCTGTCAAAAAGCATTTCATTTGAGTTTCAGGAGAATAGCACAGTGTGCAAAATGGATTACAAGAAGGGGCGGCGGCAGCGGCTCAGAGTCGGTCGTCTCCTAACTGGAAGGTCGGGGGTTTGATCCCCAGCTCCTGCAGCCACATGCCAATGTACCTTTGGGAGTGACAACTGCATTTGAGGGATCAACGTATTAAATGTGTATATCTACATCAATCTATCTAAAGATCAACGAAGGATATCGGCAAATACTTCGGTATCAGATTTGTTTTCCCTCCCTAATATCAGAATCGGTATCGGCCCAGAAATCTCCCATATTGGTCGTGCCCTATTAATCTCTATTTACAGATTGTGAATATAAATACAGAATATTTGCATGCAGGATCAGACTGGCTTGGGTATAAAGACATTTCTGAGAATCGTGGATTTTGACAATTTCGATTGGGCTTTTCGCTTCCTAACAGCAACCGTCTAATCTGCCAGGACCCGCTGTGCTCATGTAACATTTTGTCACTTGTGATGATCTGCTTGTTGCGCACCGATCTAGGAGGGATGGTGTGCAACATGATAGTAAGAAGAAGTGTTCCCTCCCTGCTCCCCAAACCAGAGGCTGGACTATAAGTCAACATATAGTTTTATAACACCCTGTCAGGACCAGAAAGAGACACTGCCAAACTGATGAAATTGATCTTATTGGACACCTGACATTCTGTTTTCAAGCTTAAAGGAAATTTAAATATCGTCTACTTGGAAGCTTCTGTCACTGCAGTTAAAACGACGGTAATGCAACTCAACTCTGAATGCATGGAAACATTTCACATTCAACATTTCCTTCGCCTCAGAAGCTTCATAAGAGAAGGATTTAACTACCACAGATCCACATCAGGTGAAAGTTTCACTGACTGCAGTTTAGTTAAATATAAATGCTTTTGTGTTTCTGCAGCTTTGCTGACGGAGTTGATGCTGGAGACTTGCTGAAAGCACC